CATATTGAATACGTCACGGGTAGCTTGCCAGGCTTTGCCGTGTTGGCGAGATTCTCTCAGTAGCTTGCCAGGCTCTCTGAGAGGGGCGGAGGAATCGAACTCAGGTTGGCCATGTTGGCTGTGTGCAAGGCAAATGTCCTACCCACTGTGCTATCGCTCCAGCCCATGATATAATATAAATAATATAAATAATTATAAGAAAAATAATTATAATTTTAATAAAATTATAATATATAATGGCGTGTCGGATTTCGGAAGGGAGAACGTTGGGAACGACATATCCATCCTGTGGAATTTGGTATGTCGGCAAGTGGACATGGCTATCGAAGAGATTTGAGTAGAAGTCATGGATAATCTTCTCCATTGCCGTTCTGGAGGATGTGATGGATCCATCAGGACGTCGGAGGGCAGTCATCTTGGTCTTATAGTTGGCGAAGGACAGGCGGGCTTTACGAATACTTTTCCCGGCTTCTGCCGCATCTACCAGTACTTCTGCTCTTCTCTCTTTGAGGTCTTCCTTGATCGCATCTCTGCACTGCTTTGCGAGCTCGGAAGTTAGCTTGCGGTTGCCTGAGGCATGCGCCAAACCACGCTGGCGAATTAGCTCAAGAGTTTTCGAAGATAGGCAATTTTTTGTGGCTATCTCTCTCTTGGCGTTCCTCGCACATTCATGGAGGTGCTGAACCAGTCGATCTTATTCCTCGTCAATGTTGTCAACAATGGCATCTTCCCATGTTGCCGCAATAGTACCAAAGAGTTCCCAGTTGGTGGTCATTCTGGGAGTTCTCTTTTTGAACTTTGCAGCCCTTTCTCCCCGCTCTGTGAAGTAGAATTTTGCACGAAGGAGACGGTGGTCCGATCCCGTTTGAAATTTTGGGACAACAGCGACATCAGTCAGGCAAAACCGTCGATTGAATATGATGTGGTCTGTTTCGTTGTGGAATCGTCCACCGGGAGACTCCCATGTCCATCGTTTAGATTCTGCCTTCTGGAACTGTGAGTTACCATGAATGGTCTTGGTCGACATGATGAACTCAGACAGTCTCTCACCCTGTTCGTTCCATTCTAGGCCATGGGTCCCAATGTGAAGTTCTTCAGCTGATCTTCTTGGTCCTATCTTGGCATTAAAATCACCCACAATGATCTTGTAGAAGGTGTGGTCTTCTTTATAGAACTTCTCTAGCTCCATGTAGAACTTCTCGATTTCTCTTTCATCATAATGAGATGTTGGTGCGTAGACAATGAAGATAGAAACTGCAGGCAGTGAGCCACATCTATTCAAATGTAAACGTCCGATTCAGGTTGTTAGGCATTCGAATGAATCAATGCTCTTGGCTAAGTTTGTGTTGACAAGGACACCGATGCCTCCAACACCTCTTTTATCGCATGTTCAGAGGAACAATTCTTCTCCAGTGTCGAAAACGGCATGGTGAGATTCGTGCCTTCTTGTCTCGGTCAGACCAATGATGTCGTACTTGATCATTCACGCTTGTACCATCAGGTCCTCTATGGATGCATCTGAGCTAGCGTACGTGCATTGAAAGTACAGAGGATCATTTTTGTCTTCCTTCGTTGTGGCAGCCTAGGTCGGCCTTGAGATTTTGTCGGCCTGTCCTTTCTCATCCTTTTCAGTGCTGCCATGTCGGTGAAGCCTTCAGGGTCAGGTGAATGAGACCAGTTGTAGTTACTGGTTTTGGCATATCGAATACACAGCGGATAGCTTGCCAGGCTCTTCCGTGCGGGCGGAATACTCTCGGTAGCTAGCCAGTCTTTCCGAGAGGGATAGAGGCTTTTGGGGCGACCTCTAATCACCCTTGTAGGTGTTACCATATTTGAACCCTATCAAATATGGTACGACAATTCCGGAAGATGGGTATTTAGTATCTTATGATGTGTCACACCTTGCGGCCGCGCGGGTCCAAAAAGCGTCCTGGAGTGTGTTATTATATATTAATATGTTATATATTAATATATAATAATAATAGCACAGCAGGTAGGGCGTTCGCCTTACAAGCGGCCAACATGGCCGACCCGAGTTCGATTCCTCCGCCCCTCTCGGAGAGCCCGGCAAGCTACCGAGAGTATTCGATATGCCAGACACAGTAACAACAAAATATAATATAAGTAATTAAAATAATTATAATATTTATTTTATAATTAAAATAATTATAATAGAAGTATAATTGTAATATATAATAGTATGTAATTATAATATAAGTAATTATAATAAAATAATTATAATTATAATAGAAGTATAATTGTAATATATAATAGTATGTAATTATAATATAAGTAATTATAATAAAATAATTATACTATATAATAGTATGATTATAATATTACAGGCTGAGCTTTCAAGGAAATTAGTAGATAAAGAGGAACAAAATAGGAAATCTTTTTGCCTTAAAGGTTGAGTACATATAATCATGCAGTATAGGATTTGGAAATATCTAAAGCCTTCATCTCAGAGCTGGATTCATTAGGTTTATAAGGTTCTTAATATTGCATAAATGGAAAAATAACTGTACTTTATCTTCAGAAGTTAAAGAAACTATAGAAAAGTGGTCCATACCTAATATATCTTACTGCTTTAGTTTCCAATTTCATAACCCACTAGAACTTCTTAGGAATATCTTTTGGTTGTGGTTGATGGCCCTAGTCCAACTGACTAATTGATAAATATCTCTGAATGTTTATCCTAATGACATCTCCCAAGGAAAAAATGAAAAAAAAATGAAGAAGGAAAGTTGTGGACATAACCAAAATAGAACAAAATATACTTTGTTTAAAAGTCATACTGATTTTATGTTCTCTTTCAGATTTGTATTTTAAATTGCTTGTAGATGATTTGGATTGTTCTTCCAAAAGCTGTAGATCTCTTGGGGTTCCCCAAATGATGTGGGTGGTTTGGGTGTTTCCCCAGAGATGTAGGGTTCTTACATTACCCCAATGATGTTGGTGGGAGAAGGAGGAATAGGAGGATGGAAGTACTAGCCTCCAGAGAATGTTACAGCCTTTCTGCTCCACCCACTTCAGTCACCCAGGGAAAGCTGAGTTAGGGTCCCCGATCCCTAGTTTTACCCTTCCAGAAAAGAAGTTCAGGAAGAGATGAATCCTTAAGTAAAACAGTTTTATTTATCAATTATGAGGCGAGAAAAAGAGACAAATGAGTTCAAGAGAGAACACAAACTTACCAAAGTAGAGAGTGCTGAGAGTACAAATTTCAAGTTGAGATGAAAGCAAATCCCAGAATGAGGATGCACTTGGCTTGCCTTTGAAAAGTTGGTTTCATAGTTTTTATTTTTCCAAACCACCAGGTCTTAACTTTTCTGTAGAAGTCTGTTGCTAGGTTGTTGTCAGGGAAGGAGCATTGAAATTTTGATAGTTTTTTTTTTTCATGTTTTAATCACAGCCTTTTTTTTTTTCTTTTTGGGTCACACCCGGTGATGCACAGAGTACTCATGGCTCTGCACTTAGGCATTACTCCTGGCGGTGTTCTGGGGACCACATGGGATGCTGGGAATCGAGGTCCGCTGTGTGTAAGGCAAACACCCTACCCGCTGTGCTATCACTCCAGCCCCAGCCTTTTGTTTCTGCTGGAGTATTTCCACTTCAGAGGGAGTCCAGCCAGTTACTTGCAATAGTCCTAGTTCCTATGTCCCCCAAAGCAGTTTGATTTTCAAGCTTTGGCGGCTACTTTAGAGTTGTTGACAGTAATTTCTTTAATTCACATTACTACCTAAGAACTGGGCGCCAGTCCTCCCCTCCTTACGGTACCTACAATCTGCCCTTGTGCTTCAAAATTAAGTTATATCAGTTTTGGTGCCCCCCCCAATCCCCCTTGAATTGGATGCGTCAGAGAAACTTAAACTTTCCTCAATTTGAAAAGTAAACGAGGTACTGAGATTTTTAAATTCTTCCAGTCAGAGCCACCCAGTAGCGACTCACAGTCAGGTGATCACTTACTAATACTCATACAGCTAGATCCATGTACGAACCTACTCGCATCCTGCACACAGTGACTTCAACTACACATGGCCACATATCATACTCTTAACATAGTCACACTAACACTTGATCCCATCCCTGTCTCCCACACATCAATCTGACCTGCACAAAGTTTATTTTATTGCTTAACTAAACTTCCCAGCAATCCCCAAACCCAAAGTCACCGTTTTGCATATTCCGCCCCCAGCTTTCCCACTCTTATTAGAGAGAGGAGCGAGCTTTTTGCGTCTGCCTATTTCTCTCCGTCAGACTTACTGGCAGATTTGGTCAAACTTTCAGGTCTCACTTTTTGCCCTGTTCTTCCCGCTCTCAAACGCGATACACAGAAGGCAACTTCTGAAACATCTTCAAAGCGAAATCAGAGTAGCCACTCCGGCGAATTTCTGTGACAAACCCCGCTCGGTTTACCAGAGCCGGGTCCCTACATGCCTGGCGAGATCTGGAACTACATTTCCCAGGGGGCCGCGGGGCCCAGTCTGTTGCAGCGTGCAGGACGCCTCAGAAAACTTTGGACACGGTTGGCGCCAAGAAAAATTGCAACGGAGAAGTTAAACAGGTAAACAAGTTAACCCCTCCTTTTTTTTTTTTCAACTGCAGAAGAACAGATACTCGATCTGGGTAGTAGCTGGGGGTTTACTTTACAGCTAATAAGCGGAACAAGGGAGTCAAATGAATGAAATTTACTAAGCGAAATTTGATTCCGTATCAAATGAGGGAATTCCTGCTGAAGTAAGATCCGAAAGTGAAGGACGACGCTTAGTCAAGTCGAGGGCTCAAAGAAGCTTGACAAAAAGTTTGGTCCAGGACTCCGGTGCACGGCTCAGCTGTAAGACACCGGTTTGGGGGCTCGCGGGGGCTTCGGTGTCGCGGGACTGTCGGGACCCGGCGAGTACCTGGCGGCGGCTGTCCGGACTACACCTCCCAGAGGCCTCTCGGCCCACGGCCCCTCCCGCGAGAACCTCCTAAAATGGGCGTGGTCAGCTCGCTGGCTGGGACAAACGGCCTCTGAGCTCAGCGGGAGAAGGCTGGGTTCGACTGATCAGGACCTGAGCGCAACCCGGCTAAGAAGATCCGAGCAGCTCTAGGTGAGGCGTGTGGGGCCGGGTGTCCCAGTTTGGGGGCCGAGGGGCTGGTCCCTGAGATCTGGCTTGCACGGGGGTCTGTAGGGGAGTCGGTTGAGAGCGCGAGGTGAGGTGAGGCGTCGGGGACTGATTGTGACGGCATCTCTGCGGGATGGAACACGGAGCTCGGGCGGGGGTTTGGGGAGGGGTTGGCGGCGCGTTGTGCTCGGGATCCGGCTTTAATTGTGCGACTTGGAGCCTGGGATGCCCTGACCTGAGTCATTGTAACTGTGTGCCCTCGGTGTGTGTGGGGAGTTTCGACGACTATCTGTGAACAGTGACTGTGGAATGCCGTAGCTGAAAGGTTCTGTCTTGCTTCCCAGTCGGGGGTGTGTTAATTGTGATGCGGGTGTTGAGTACCTGTGAATTTGTTGTTGGTCTCCGTGACCTGTGGCACAGGGACCGCCGGGGCTTTGGGCGCGGAGGTCGGCGTCGGTGTCTGTCTGTCTGTCTCGGGGCTGTGCGTGATCCTTTGGCCGCAGGCAGCTCTAGTTGCTTTACCGCTTTGCGCGTCTGCGTCTCGCGGATTTGCGTTGTGCCAGTCCGTTTCTGCAGGTGCGGGGCGCCTTTGTGTATGCCTTTGTCATCCCAGGCTGTGTGCTCGCGGGACAATCTGAGCTCAGGAACCAGATTCTGCCCGAAACTGCCTTGATCCCGCATCCCTCTGTGATGTTGGGAGGGAGCAGGACGTCCTGAGCTTGTCTCTCCCGCATTTGTAGCTGGTGGGGATCTGTAAGTGGGCATCGCTAGGTCTGTAGGGGGTAAGTTGGCCTGGGCTCCCAGAAAGCCTGGCATTTCCTGACTCCTCTCTCCTTTCCCAGGTGCCCAGAGGCCTCTAGAGTGGAATAAGGAATGGCTAGTGAACATCCACAAGACAACTGCAAGGTAGCTTGACCTTTCCCTTTATTTCTTGAAATCTCTATTCCTCCCCTCCACACACACACACCCCAGAACCCGATGGTCTTTTTTTTTTTTCCAATTCTTGATGACTTGATCTTTAAAAGTTCTCCTTTGAGAAAATGTGGTTAGTGTCAGACCACAAACCTCACACATTCACCTGATTTCTTACCAACTTGTAAAACTGGTTGAATATTTCTTGCACAGTTTTATGAAACAGCAGCATTCTTTTGTAATTTGAAAGTAGAACAGAATTATTTTAAATTAAAGTGAAAGAGTACCCAATGAAGAAAATGTGATTTCTCAGTTACAACCAATGCTAGGTGGGTTGGAGAAACAGTGGGGAAGGTGTATGGGCTGTATGGGCTACCTTATGTGTAGCCCATACAGGTTTGATCCCTGGTATTCCATATATTCCTGAATACTACCAGGAGTTATTTCTGAGTACATAGCCAGGAGTAACCCCTGAGCATCACTGGGTGAGGCCCCAAAACCAAACCAGTGTTGGAGTGATAGCTCAGTGGGATGAGGGCATACTTTGCATGGGAAAAACCTGGATCTGATTCATAGCACTACTTGGTCTTCTGAGCAGTGTTAGAGAGATACTTCTGAGTAGTGAACTGGGAGTAACCCCTGGAGTACCCCTGAGTGTGGCCCCAAAACTAAAATAAGTAAATATTAAACCAATTCAACATTAGCCTCTAATCTGTTCTTGCTGAATCCACATTCTTTTTTTTTTTTTTTTTGCTTTTGGCTTTTTGGGTATCCCATATAGTCCTGGGAACACAGCATTCTCCTCTAACCAGGGTAAGCCATGTGCAAAGCAAATTACCCTACCTGCTGTACCTCTGGTCCTTATTTTGGCAAATTTTAGCTGGATTTTTTTCTCTAATTGATAGGTATGTGTATTTATACTTGTGTGAGGTTTTTTTTTTGTTGGTTTTTTGTTTGGGGCCATACCTGGAGATGTTCAGTAGGTTACTCTTGGCTCTGCACTCAGAAATTACTCCTGGTGGTGCATGGATACCTACAAGGCAAAGGCCCTACCCTCTGAACTATGGCTCTAACCCCTCTGTGTATTTGTTGTCTGTGGTATGTGTGACAGATTTTTTTCTTTTCTCCATTTTCACCCTGTAGTTCCTGTTAATAAACTATTCTGAACTTTTCCCCATTAATTACCATTTAAGATATTTCTAGGGTCAGAGCGATAGTACAGCAGGTTGGGTGCTTGTCTTGTATGAGGCCCACCTGGGTTAGATGCTCTGGCACCCCATATGGTCCCCTGAGCACTGCCAGGAGTAATTCCTGACTGCAGAGCCAGGAGTAGCCCCTAAGCATCCCCCCTCCCCCCCAAAATTCTGCTACCCTGAAATAGTGAAGATTTTCTTGTGTTGTCGTCTCTGGGATTTGGCTCTAACATTTAGGTTATTATGATACTTGGAATTTATTTCTGTAGAACCGGAATTCAGTTAGTTTTTTTCCCCATGTGCATATTCAGTTGTTTCCAGTGTCTTAACAAAAAGTTTCTTTTATACACCAATCTGCAGTGCTAATTTAGTAAGGTACCAAGTGACTGTGTATGCCACGTACATGACAGTGTATATTTCTGTATTCTCTTGTGTTGTTCTGGGTGTTTGTAGCATAATACTCTCTTAGTTACTATAACTTTAGAATATTGGCAGCAAATCTTCTTACCTTTTTTGTTTTGTTTTTTGGGTCACACCCAGTGATGCTCAGGGGTTACTCCAGGCTCTGCACTCAGAAATTACTCCTGGCGGTGTGTGGGAAACCATATTGGATGCCAGGGATTGAACCGAGGCCGACCACGTGCAAGGCAAATGCCCTACCCACTGTACTATTGCTCTGGCCCCTCTTCTTACCTTTTTGTTCCTCAGGAGTGTCTAGGCTTTTTTCATTCTTTTGATTTTTCCATATACATTTTTGGTTGTTGTTTTTTGCTCAGGGCTTGCTTATTTCTGCCTCTGTACTTAAGGATCCTGGTAAGGGTCGAGAGACCATATGTATTATACTAAATTTCTAGTGCATTATACTAAAATCATGTTAGTTTTGGTATATGAAAGGCTTATTGGTGCATTTCAAGGATTCTTTAAACTCTGTACAGTATTTTCTTTCCTATTTTGTTTTTTGGGATATCCAGATGTGTTTTGGGGTGACTTCCTGTTTGAGTGCTGGAGGTCGTTTCCTGTTCGTGCTCTACTGGATTCAGGGCTCCCAATGCAAAGCATCTAATAAAGTATATTATATAAACACAAGGTATATATTAAAAATGAATGATAGGAAAGGCCTTGGAAGAAAGCTCAAGTGGTAGAGCCCATGGGTGAGCAGGTATGAGACCCAAATTTTGATTCCTGGTGTCCCCTGTGGGCTTCTGCCATAGTACTCAGGACTACTCCTGATTCAGCACTCTAGAGTTGCTCCTAGAGGTGTTCCAGGAATCGCACAGTGCTGGGGACCAAATTCAGGCTTCTAGTATGCAACCCATGTGCTTACCCCTTGAACTGTCTCTCTGTCTTTAAGGTTGTTATTTATTTATCTGTTTATTTTTTTCTTTGGCATTTGGGCCACACCCAGCAGTGCTCAGGGCTTATTTCTGACTCTGTACTCAGGAATCACTCCTTGCAGAGTCAGGGACCATATGGGGTGCTGGATAGTGAACCTGGGCCGGCCATGAGCAAGGCAAACTACCTACCCACTGTACTATCACTCAGACCCCTAAACTTGTTATTTGTGGCTTGGTTACTTAATATCTCTCTCTGTATATATACATACGTATATGTATGTATTTATGTGTGTATATATGTGTGTATTTTGTATATATAGAATCTCTATATATTTATTAATATTTTTTCCATATCCGCTATAGTCAAGGCTGATTCTTGGCTCTATGCTCAGGGATCAGGAGACCATATAGGGCACTGGGGATAGAATTAAGGTTGGCTGCATGCAAGACAAGCGCTCAGAGACCACCAGAACTGAACCAACATTGTGGGGCCTGTGCAGTCCCACTTAAGCCTTTTCTCTGGCTTTGGATTTCTTTGTATTGACTCCTTCAGTGTGGTTTTGCTAGTCATTTGAAATATATATGGGTCCATTTGCTTCTTCTGGTATTTTGATTTTTTTTTAATTCCTTCATCTTTGTTGACTTGATGATACAGGTACATCAAAAAATTACATAGTTTATGGGCTGGAGAGATAGCACAGCGGGTAGGGCGTTTGCCTTGCATGCAGCCAACCCGGGTTCGATTCCCAGCATCCCATATGGTCCCCTGAGCACCATCAGGAGTAACTCCTGAGTGCAGAGCCAGGAGTAACCCCTGTGCATCACCGGGTGTGACCCAAAAAGCAAAAAAAAAAAAAATTACATAGCTTGAAAGATAACTTTAAGTGAAAGGTACAATAGAAGAGCAGCGCTGCTCAAACAGCCTTGATATGGTAAGGTTCAGGCTGTGAATTGTGACTACTTCGTGAAAATGTTTAAACCTAATCCTGATAAGTTTGAACAGGCTCACTATTTGTATAGTTAGAGCCTTTATTTATTTGGGGGAGGGTGGGTGTTAGCCACACCTACTGATGCTTAGGGGTTACTCCTGGTTCTCTGCTCCAGAATTATTCCTTGTGGTGCTCGGTGGACCATATTGGATGCAGGGGATTGAACCTGGATTGGCCGTGTGCAAGGCAAATGCCCTACCAACTGGTCTCTTGCTCCTGTGTAGCTAGAGCCTGTAGACAGATGCTTTATGTTACAGTGAAGCTGGTGGGCTAGCCAGTCTGACTGGTATCTTTATGTGAAGAGGAAATTTGAACATAGAGCTAGACAACAGGGATATACATGTAGAGAGGAAAACCCCTGTGAGGATATAGCAAGAAAGTGAATAGCTGCAGGCCAAACTCTCTGTCTGAAACCTCAGAATAAACTGAATCTTCTGGCAGCATCTATGTTTTGAACTTCTAACCTTTTAAAAAATTTCTGTTATTTATACCACTCATTCTGTGGTATTTTGCTATGGCACCTCCTGGCCAGTAACAGCAAGTAAATTATTTCTTTCTAGCTTATACTCTCTACCTGTCCCCTTGGAACATGCTAAGAAACTGAATAGTTTGGGTGGGTCTTGAGCATGAGCAAGTCAAGATACTCCTGGTAATGTAATTCTTGGGTTTTAGTCAGGGAAAGCTAGTCTCATGGATAATGGTTTGCAAGTTCCTTTCATTGACAAGAGATTTTTGGTTTCATCTGGGTCCAACCAGAAGCCCAGTTCCTTATTTAAAGACCCTTCCCCCCCCCCTAAGAATTAATGTTCTGTCTCTCTCTCTCTCTCTCACTCTCTCTTTTTCTATTTCATTTTGTTTTGGGGTCACACCCAGCCATACTCAAGGATTGCTCCTAGCAGTGCTCTTGGGACCATTTAGGGTGCCAGTGATTGAACCTGGGTCAACTGCATACAAAGCAAGTGCACTGTACTCTCTCCAGTCCCTCAGTACTCTAATTTTTACATCAAAAACACACTTAGATTGGATTAAACTGTTATGTCAGCAACTTGCAAAATTGGGCAGATGGGGGTTTGGTTTTCACTAATATCAGCCCTTTGATTTCAAGGAAAGGGAAATTCTTTTAGGATTTTATGGAAGCTCTCTGGTTCTTCAAACTTATGACTTAAAGTGAAATGAACAAACCCATCTGCCTGAATTTTCTGTATGCTCAAATGGACTCTGATATCACAACTCACTGTAGTTGTTGTAAGGCATTGTTACTGCCAAGTTGGTCAGATGAAACAACTTCTGAGCTCCCAGGCAGAGTTCGGAGGTTTAAGGCACAATGGGTTTGTATTGCTTCATAGTCAACCCCATCTTTACTTATTGTGATGTCACTACATGCCATGGATTTTTAACATTCCAAGTTACCACTGACAACAGCATTTGCACGATAGTTAAGCTCAAAGGGATAGTAAGTATTTGAAAAAGATTCTAACAGCAGTTTAACAATAAGGGATGGCTTAAAGCAAGACTAAAGGCATAGCCAAAATAATCCCCAAACCTGTCTTTACTGGCTGTTCTCCTGGCGCTTCTGCTGGCACGGATTTTGTTGCAGTTAAATAAAAGACAAAAAGCACATAATGATTGGAACTGGGAAAATTCAGTATTAAGGATTATCAACTATAGAAGAACTGGTGTACTGAAAGATTGACTGTTAAGCGAAGTGTTGGGAGCTAGTACAATGGTTGGGCCGAATGAACGTATTTGACTCCCAGAACTACATGGTCTCCTAAGCATCTGGGTGCAGCCTGGAGGTCTGTCCCCCAAGCATGGCCAGTGTAGCCCTGGTAACCCTGGCACTGCAGGACTCCAGCCACACAGCTACAATCCTAAAACATTAAAAGTAGCAGAAATGCAGTAGTATTCCTAAAGGCAGATAGAAACATGCAAGAAGGAGGTGCTCGCAGGCCTCAGATTCAGGTTGTACACGGCTTTTTGATGAAAGGGATAGTTGCTAAGATTTAGGGTTGGAAGTAAGACAAGGCACGTCCCAAAAAAATAGCCTTTGTCACCTTTTATAGCCTAGAGGCCTTGTTCTTTGTTTTATTTTGGTTGGAGTTACATACTGTGGTGTTTAGTACTTACTCCTGCTCTCTGTTAACTAATCACTGCTGGCACAGTGCAGAGAACCATATTTGGTGCTAGAAATTGTAAACCAGGGGTCAGCTACATGACAGGCAAGTGCCTTACTTTCTGTACTATCTCTCTGACCCTATAATTGCCTCATTCTTTTTTGTGTTGGGGCCACACTTGGCAGTGCTCAGGGCTTACTTCTAGCTCTGTGCTCAGGGATCACTCCTGCTAGGGTTTGGAGGACCATTTGGGGTCCCAGGGATTGAACCTCGGTCAGCTAAGTGCAAGCAAGCTCCATACCTATTGCACTGTATCTCCATAAGTAGCCATTCATGTGCAAAATCACATAAGTAGAGAATGAATGAAATTTTATTTCCAAGGTTCTTCACTTCTTGCCTTTCAGGTGGCTTACATGGCCCTATCCCCAGTACCACAGATGGTCCTCCCGAACTACTAGGAGTGAGCAAAGATCCCTGAGCACAGAGCCAGGCATAAAAACTGAGCAATGCCAGGTGTGGCATAAAAAACAAAGAACATCTTTCACATGGGAGAATTATCTTATGAGACACTAGGGTATTCTCTTGTCAAGGCCCTCAAAAAACTTGCAATTTTGATTATAATGGCTAAATTCATGTGTCAATCTGAGAAATTTATATCTTTCCAGAATTCTTTTAATAAGAATTTATATATTTTCATTTATCTCTAGGGATTAAGCGCAGTTTTTAAAAATTCTATTCAAATAGACATTTTTGTGTACTTTACGTTGATGCTATTTTTAATGAATCTCATAATTTTGTAGTTGAAATGTAGAGATACTTTTGACTTTTGTTTTTTGATTTATTTTTGAGAGTTTTGTGAAATCTCATAACAATTTGTTAGATTATTGGGATTTTCTTGTAAGCAGTCAAAAGATCTGCAGTCATTAATTTTATTACTTTTTCTCCAGGAACTCTATATTTCACTTGCTACCTTTAAAAAAATTTATTTTTTTAAATTTTGGGTGATACCCTGTGATGCTTATGGCTTACTCCTGGTTCTGCACTCAGGGATCATTCTGGTGGTGCTCCAGGGACATGAGTGGTGCCAGGGATTGAATACCCATTGGCTGCATGCAAGGCTAGCGCCCTACCTGCTTACTCTCTCTCCAGTCCCTAAAGATGTTTATCCTTTTTATTTTTGGGTCACACCTGGTGATGCTCAGGGGTTACTCCTGGCTCTGCGCTCAGAAATTACTCCAGGCAGTGCTTGGGGGGACCATATAGGATGCCGGGAATTAATCCCTGGTCGGCTGAGTGCAAGGCGTTCTAATGAGCAACCTTGAATTAGTTGAATAAAACCAACCTATGTTTTCTTTTGTTACTTAGGTCTGGTTTATGAATTTTCCCCTTATTTTTGTATGTCCTGAAATTTTTATTATTACTATCAAATTATAATCTGATCTAGCAGTAAAGACCACTTTCCACAAAGACATTACACATTTATCAACCAATTCTAATTCATTCTTCTTGGTTTACACTTCTCCTGGCAGCTTCGTAAGAATCTAGGACTTCAGTTTTTCTCTTTCATCTCTGTTCAGCTCAGGGTAAGCCCCTGGAAAGCTATGAAACTTGGTGCTCACCCCCAGAGATTTTAATGTTGAGTTTGTCTCTTCTCCCCATGAATGAAGCACTAGCTTATTTGCAGTACTATGATACTGAAACAATTCAGGAAGAGAATAAGAAGAATTCAATAGTCCAATAATTCTGTCCTCTGAAGATACTGGTAAGTAGCAGGTGCTTTATTAAAAGAAAAACTAGAAAGAGCAGAGACTCCTGCCACATCTTGATTGCTTCATGGGCTAGATACATTTCCATACACTCCTCAGTGAAAATCCTCCTACTAATTATCCTGCTCTTCTTGATGCCACTTTTTAATTCCTCATCAATCAAATTTGTAAACACCTGGCACAGTCCATCAATGGATTCAAGGTGCTCAGGGCAGTGGGTAGTAGGTATTTTCAACCTGTCTAATTATACATAGGAGATACCCTCATTCATAGGTGTGTAAGGTCTGGGAGGTACTGTTGATAAATAATATTTTTTTTGCGTTTTGGGTCACACCTAGCCATGCACAGGGGTTACTCCTGACTCTGCACTCAGGAATCACTCCTGGTGCTGCTCAGGGGACCATATGGGAGGCTGGGATTTGAACCCGGATTGGACGCTTGAAAGGCAAACGTCCTACCTTCTGTGCTATCACTCTAGCCCCCCAATAAATAATTTTGATGTGTTGAAATGTTAAAACCTGCTAGATCTGTCTTCTCATTCCTTGTCCAGAATCACTTGAGTCGTGCAGGAAGATGAGTGAGGCGCCGTGTCTGCCAGACAGGATCATCCAGCAGTGCCGCAGGTGCGTGGAAGCTGACACAGCTGCCATAGCTGCCATTGGTTCCCTATGTCCTTTCTCCCCAGTTTTTATATTGCTATTCATTACTTTGAAATTTCTCTCCTATTAGCCTAAAGTTATTTCTCATATAGCCGTTTTCCTCTTTGGTGTCATGGCTATACTAGTTTAATCAGATAAAGTAAAAAGATTTCATTTTTCTTTATTATCGTTTATTTTTGTTTGTTTTTGGGTCAGACCCAGTGGTGCTTAGAGCCTAATTTTGGTTCTGTGCTCAGGGCACTCCTGGCAAGCTTAGGGACCATAATGGGTGTCGAAGATTGAACCTGGATTGGCTGTGTGCCAGGAGATGCCCTACCTCCTGTATTATCACCCCTGCCTAGACTCTGCTTTTCAAACTAGAAGTTTTAGAATTGGGCAGATAGCTTTAAGAGCCAGTGTGTGGGGGCTGGAGCGATAGCACGGTGGGTAGGGCATTTGCCTTGCATGAAGCCAACTTGGGTTCGATGCCCAGCATCCCATATGATCCCCCGAGCACCGCCAGGAGTAATTCCTGAGCGCATGAACCAGGAGTAACCCCTGTGCATCGCTGGGTGTGACCCAGAAAACAAACAAACAAACAAAAGAGCCAGTGTGTGTACTGTTAGCACCTGAATAGGTGGGAAGTGGTGGGAAGCAACTTCCCAAGCTATGCATCAGTAGTTGTCCTCAAACACTGCCAGGTGGTATCTAAAAATTAAGCTAAGAACAAATGGACATTTTACATATATTTGTGTATTTAGGATATATAAAATATAGTTTTGGTTAAGTAGTAAAACCACCGGATAGTCTGCACAAACTTCCCTGACGAGTGATCATTAAATTGATGTGTATAAAAATCATCCTTTTGCTATAATAAAAAGTTGTTTTGCCAACATTTTAGGGTACCCCAGAACTTTTAATAATTTTAAACTTTAGGTAAATGTAATAATATGTTTTTGTTCATTTCTGTTTAATATATTTTATGTGTGTGCTTTTGGGCCACACCTAGCTGTGTTCAGAGGCTATTTCTGACTCTCCTCTGATCTCTTCTAGTTTTTGAGACCATATATGGTTTTAGGGTTTAAACTTGAGTCAGCTGTGTGCAAAGTAAACACCTTACCCATTATATGATCTCTTTGCATTATTATTCTTTTTGATTAATGTAAAATAATTTTGATATATTTTATATATTACCAATTCTATACTCTTTTAGAGTGCTTAGTCTTTATTTCTCAGATTATATACATTCTTATTTCTTGGTCTAAGAAAACTCTAAATATCTACATCAGCTTTGGGAGACTGAGAGAGAATATAGTGGGTAAGATGCTTACTTACCTTGTACGCACAGCTGACCTAGTTCAATCCCTGGTACCCCATACAGTCCCTGGAGCTCTGCCAGGAGTGATTCATGAGCACAGAGCCAGGAGTAAGTCACTGGGCCACATTGTTAGTATGGCCCAAAAAACAAAACCGAAATTTGTTTTTTGATAAAAGTGGCATGCAAGGATGGGTAAATGAGTTAAATATTTGATTTTTAGTATATCTGAAAAGAACTTTTCAGTGACCATATTGATTCTTTGAGGGGTCATGGAATTATACATTGAAAATATTTACCTTCTGGTTCACAATAGACAAAATGCCAACCCAAGTGCCCTAGAACAGATGACTGGTTAAAGAAACTTTGGTACATCTACACAATGGAATACTATGCAGCTGTCAGGAGAGATGAAGTCATGAACTTTGCTTATAAATGGATAGACATGGAGAGTATCATGCTAAGTGAAATAAGTCAGAAAGAGAGGGACAGACATAGAAGGACTACACTCATTTGTGGAGTATAAAACAACATAACATGAGGCTGACACCTAAGGATAGTAGATACACGGGACAGATTAGATTTCTCCATAGCTGGAACCCTGCCTCATGAGCAAAAGGGAGAAGGCAGCTGGAATAGAGAAGGGATCACTAAGAAAATGATGGCTGGAGGAATTGGTCGAGATGGGAGTTGTGTGCAGAATGTAGATAAAGGACCAAACATGATAACCTCTCAGTGTTTCTATTACAAACCATAATGCCCCAAAGTAGAGAGAGATTATGGGGAATAACGTCTGCCATGGAGGCAGGGGAGGGTGGGAAAGGGGGGGTATACTGGGGATATTGGTTTTGGGGAATGTGCACTGGTGGAGGGATGGGTGTTTGATCATTGTGTGATTGTAACCCAAATATGAAAGCTTGTAACTATCTCACGGTGATTCAATAAAATTAAAAAATATATATATTTACCTTCTGAATTTAGTAATTATTACTTCTCGCTTAGAATTTTAATGAGAACTCCAAAACAATTTCATTCTTTATCCTTATTTAATTTTAATTTTTTTGGGGGGGGCTTTTGGGTGACACTCTGCAATGATCAGGGTTGTTCTTGGTTCTGCACTCAGGGATTACTCCTGGTGGGGCTCAGGTGTGTCTGGGATTAAACTCAGGTTGACTTCGTGCAAGGCAAGTGCTCTGCCCTTTCTTTGTCTTTTAATTTATGCTTTCCTTTTTCTCTTTGGAGTAATCGTAGAGCTTTTTCGCTTTATCAGTGTCTTAGAATCTAATAAAATATATTTTGGTTTGAATAATTTTTATTCTTAATTCTAGGTATCAAATATGTGCATTATGTTAGAGATTCATGTCCTTCAGTTCTAGAAATTTTTCTTAAATAGTGTAAGGTGAGGGGCTGGAGCTATAACAAAGCGAGTAGGGCATTTGCCTCGCATGTGGCCGACCTGGGTTCGATTCCCAGCATCTCATATGGTCCCCTGAGCACCGCCAGGAGTAATTCCTGAGTGCATGAGCCAGGAGTAACCCCTGTGCATCTCCGGGTGTGACCCAAAAAGCAAATATATATATATATACAGATATATATGTATATATACATATATATTTTGCTGGAGCAATAGCACAGCGGGTAGGGCGTTCACCTTACAAGCGGCCAACATGGCCGACCCGAGTTCGATTCCTCCGCCCCTCTCGGAGAGCCCGGCAAGCTACCGAGAGTATTCGATATGCCAGACACAGTAACAACTTAAGTCTCCAATGGAGACGTTACTGGGCCCGCTCGAGCAAATCGACGATCAACGGGAGGGCCTTTACCTTTACCTTATATATATATTAAGGTGAAAAATTTCCAACAGAGCTGGACTGATAGTACAGCGAATATGGCACTTGTCTTGCATGTGGCCCATGGGGGTTGAGTCTCCAACATCTAATTTATTGTTTCCGGAGTCTCGCCAGGAGTGATCCCTGAGCACAGAGCCAGAAGTAAGTTCTGAGAATTGCTGGTGTGACCCAGAAGCAAAACAAAAGAAAATTAAAAAAAAAAGACAAATTTCTTACATTAAGAAAAATTTGAGACTATGTATACAGTACAACAGGTCAGGGGTCAGGTGCTTGCCTTGCATGCAACTGAGTGGGCTTACCTGAGCACCACATTATGGTCCCTAGAGTGTTGCCAGGAATGATACTTGAGCATAGATCCAGGAGTAAGGCCAAAACAAAGAACAAGGAGTAAACCCTGAACATCACTGGGTGTGACCCAAATGTGAAACAAACAAAAAAATAATGAGAGAGAAAAAATTGAAACAATATTCTAGTGAATCCTATATAGCCATCACCTACAGTTGTTAACATGTTAACGTTTGCCACATTTACTTTATCTACCTGCATAAGCATATTTCCCCCTGAATCACTTGAGAATATGTTGGAGACATCTGATTATTTTACTCTTTTTTTAAATTTTTTAAAAAACTTTATTTATTTGTTTTGGCTTTTTTGGGGTATACCCAGCAATGCACAGGAGTTACTCCTGGTTCATACACTCAGGAATCACTCCTGGCAGTGCTCGGGGGACTATATGGGATGCTGGGAATCGAACCTGGGTCGGCCGTGTGCAAGGCAAACGCCTGACCCGCTGTGCTATTGCTCCAGCCCCTGATTATTTTACTCTTAATACTTGTAGCATTAAGTAAGGTAAAGGTAAAGGCCCTCCCGTTGATCGTCGATTTGCTCGAGCGGGCCCAGTAACGTCTCCATTGGAGACTTTTGTTGTTACTGTGTCTGGCATATCGAATACTCTCGGTAGCTTGCCGGGCTCTCCGAGAGGGGCGGAGGAATCGAACTTGGGTCGGCCATGTTGGCCGCGTGTAAGGCGAACGCACTACTAGTATTAAGTTTAAATCCCTGGCTTTGTAGAGCTCTTGAGGCTCTACACTGCCAGGGATTATCTGAGGAAATGGGGCATGGGATGGGTGCTTCAGTGTTGCATCCAGCAATGCTCAGGGCACTGTGGTACCAGGGACTGACCCTCAGACAGTTGCATGCAGGACCTTCGCCTTAACTATATCTGGCTCCTAAGATCACTGTCTTACAGAATGTCCTACAGTTGGCTTTTGCTGATGCCTTTCTCATGGAAATAGGAAGCTTTGATTTGGTTTTAAATTGTTAAACATTGCTGGCAAAGTATACTAAGTGACATACATGGCAAGTCACCTACTTGTGATGCAAAGTTTCTCAAGATTAGACAGGCAAGTACCAAATCTTTTCAAGATAAAGGTATATTTTCCCAGTTACCCATGGAGTGACATTATGAGATTTAAGTAAATAATCTGTTTTCCTTAGCTTTCTGCCTTTAAAACCTGCTGAGAGGTGCTGAATTAATAGTATAGAGATCAGGGTGTTTGCCTTGAACATGGCCACTGGGTTTGAGCTCTGGCACACTAGATGGTACCATGAGCCCTTCAGGAATGATTTCTGAGTGCAGAGCCAAGAGTAAACTCTGAGCACCACAGGGAGTAGCCCAGTCCCTTTTATTCCCTTTCTCTCTTCTCTTTTTGAATCCCTGTGATGCTCTTACTCCTCTTACCACTGATTCATTAAACTTTTCTTCATATGGTGCCCTGAGCACCTCCAGGAGTAATTCCTGAGTGCAGAGCCAGGAATAACCTCTGAGTATCACCAGGTATGACCCAAAACGCTAAAACAAACCACACAAAAACCAACAAAACAAAACCTGCTGATAATCCTTGCTTGAATTATTAGATTGTTGGTTTCAAAATGGCACTTTTCAGATTTCTTACTGCTCTTAGCACCTTGCCCAACTCTTGGCAGATGGCTGAGTATGCTTCAAAAATTACTGTCATTTCTGGGAGATAGTATAGTGAGGGGTTAGCGCATAGGGCTAGCATGTGTCTGACCTGAGTTTATTCCCAGTGCTATATGATCCCCAAGCATTATTAAGTGCAACCCTTGACCCTCAGCACCACTGGGGGTGGCTGGATCCCTGGCACTGCTCTGGGTAGTATCATATCTTTGGTCTTTTCTTGCACAGAGCTACTGACCAGGTTGAGCATGGTCTCGTTCTCTGAGCACTGGTGGGGAGTACACTCACCAAAATGATTTCATCTAATAAGTTATTTAACTTACTAGGATATCCAGTTTGCTTTTCTATTTTCCATATCTACATTTCACTTTTTAATCCTTCTAATGGTTTTTATTCACATTTCATATTTTCTAGGTATTTACATATTTGTTTTATGTTATCATATTCTCATACTATGTGAAATAGTTTCTCTTATCCTTCAGAGATGAATTGCTTTTTAAAGCTACTGTTATTTACTGATGGTTTTTTTCTGTGTAGTCATTCTAAGTTCCTTTGGGCTTTTAGAAAATATCTGTTATAGGGCTGGAGCAGTAGTTCAGTGGGTAGGATGTTTGCTTTGCATGTGGCTGACCCAGGTTCGATTCCCAGCATTTTAAATGGTACCCTGAGCACTGCCAGGAGTAATTCCTGAGTGCAGAGCCAGGAATAACTCCTGAGCATCTCCAGGTGTGACCCAAAAAAGCCAAAAAAATAAAAAAAAGTTATAGGCTTTCCTAAAATACTTGATATTTCCTTACTTCTATTTAGAGTATTCTAAGAAACAGGTTTAACATTTTTTTCCTTCTTTTTTTGGGGGGGGGATTGGGTCACACTTGGCTATGCTTTGGGCTTACCCCCAGCTTTGAAGCCAGGAATTACTCCTGGCGGTTCTCAGGGGACTATATGGGATGCTAGGGATTGATTCCAGGTTGACCATGTGCAAGACAAGCAATTTACCATTATATTCTCTCGAGCCCTTTATCTAACAAAAAGCAGAGTTTCCAAGGACAAGGAGAACGCATATGATCCACTTGTCTAAACTGAAAGTGTAGAGAAATTGCTAGAGAACTTTTGGTTTTATTTTACTTTGAAAGCTATGATTTTCCATATATTTTAAAAATAGAATTTTGAGTTTATAGCTTAGCTTAACATCTCCACATGTATGTAATATTCACCTCACCCACCACCAGATTGCCAGGGTGACAGGCCTATCACTACCTATACCCTTAAACACCCTTATATGCCTCTTATAACCTCCATAGTTTTCACAGTCTAGAAGTTAGATATTTTTTGGTCAATGTATTTCCTTTAGTTATTCATATCCCAAAAATGAGTGAAACAATCTGATATATGTTTCTCATTTCCTTATTTATTTTGCTGGAGTTTGATCCAAAGAGCACAGTTTCATCTTTATTAATGGCAGAGTAGAATTCTGCTCATTCTGTTCTTCTTTATCCATCTTTCAGTGGGTATTTAGTGTTTACATGTTTTGGCTATTGTGAATAAATATGAACATAGAAATGCAGTTTTCTCATACAGTTAGTGCATTCATGCCCCTTGAGTAAATTGCTGGATCGTATAGCATTTCTATTTCAGATTTTTAAAAGGATCTCCATTACTGTTTATCATAGGCATCTACTTATTTGTTTGTTTATTTATGTATTTGTCACACCTGACTTTACTCAGGACTTATTCCTGTCTCTACACTCACTGGGCCATATATGATGCTTGGGGATCAAACCTAGGCTGACTGCATGCAAAGCAAGTGCCCTACTCGCTCTATTATCCCTCTGGCCCTCATAGGTACCAATTTACATTCCCACCCAGAGTTTAGCAGAATATCCTTTTCTCCACATGGTTTTCAATATTTGTTGCTTCTAATCTTTTAATACAGGGTATTCTCATCCGAGTGGCAAAACTACTAAAGCATGTACTCTGCGATTTTCCTGAGACCATAAAGACTGTAATGTAAATATTACAGTCCCTCCCTCCATTCCTTCTTGTGATAAAAACTGAACTCAGGGCTCATATATGCAAATTATGCACTCTACCACCGAGTTCATAACCCTTTAAGAGGAGAATTCAGCTAAAATACTTTACTCTTTGGAATTTGCTCAAGAATTCTAATTGATGTCTTTAGATAAGGTTCTTTAGTGGTCTGTCATAGCATATGTCTTACAAAATAACCAATGTTGTTCCTTTAAATGAATGCATTACATTACAGAATACAATAAATACAATAAATAAGTACAATACATTACAGAATTAGTAATTAGAGCCGGGGTTCAGAAAAACTCATCTACCTTTACCCATGTGTTCTGTCATTAGTATTATATTACCTCCTATCTTCACTCCTGACTTTAAAATTATTTTCTCAATTGCTCTCTAGTCTTTACTCAGTGTTTAATCTCATTACCATCTTATGTAATCATTTCTCTTTGGCAAATGACCGCTAAAGAATTCTCTTTGTTTTTCATTCCAGATTTTTTTAGTAGTTAATCTTTTATCGATTGACTGCTACATTACTCTTTTCCTAAATACCTCCATTATTGAACAGTTGACTTCAATTTTTACCATCTTTATCTGTTCCCCAGTTATATAAGAACTGTATAAATCACTCACTTATTATGTTCTAATTAAATCTTTCATATTATGAATAATAGCTCCACTTCTTCACGAACATTAAAAAAAGTGAATATTTGCTTTTATATTTTCTTTCAGACAATGAATCCAGGTTAAGCCCAAGAAATTATTTCTGAAAAAGGATTTATATGGAATAGAATCATCCTCATGAGAGATATGGAAAGAATTATAAAAAACAGCATTGAATGTTCAAGTTTCAGAGGTGACTGGGAATATAAAAGCCAGTTTGAGAGAAAGCAGAAAACTCAGGAAGGACATTTCAGTCAAATGATATTTACTCCTAAAGACATGCCCACTTTCAATATCCAGCATCAGAGAATTCATGCTAATGAGAAACTCCTTGAGTGTAAGGAATGTGGGAAGGATTTTAGTTTTGTATCAGTACTTATTCGACATCAGCGAATTCATACTGGTGAGAAACCTTATGAGTGTAAAGAATGTGGCAAGGCCTTTGGTAGTGGTGCGAACCTTGCTTACCATCAAAGAATTCATACTGGTGAGAAACCTTATGAATGTCATGAATGTGGGAAAGCCTTTGGTAGTGGTTCAAATCTTACCCACCATCAAAGAATTCATACTGGTGAGAAGCCTTATGAATGTAAGGAATGTGGGAAAGCATTTAGTTTTGGGTCAGGCCTTATTCGTCATCAGATAATTCACAGTGGTGAAAAGCCTTATGAGTGTAAGGAATGTGGGAAGTCTTTTAGTTTTGAATCTGCCCTTACTAGGCATCACAGAATTCATACAGGTGAAAAACCTTATGAATGTAAGGATTGTGGGAAAACTTTTGGCAGTGGTTCCAACCTTACTCAACATCAGCGAATTCATACTGGTGAGAAACCGTATGAATGTAAAGCATGTGGAATGGCCTTTAGTAGTGGTTCTGCCCTTACTCGACATCAGAGAATTCACACTGGTGAGAAGCCCTATGTGTGTAATGAATGTGGAAAGGCTTTTAGTTTTGGATCAGCCCTTACTCGACATCAACGAATTCACACTGGTGAGAAACCTTATGTATGTAAGGAATGTGGAAAGGCTTTTAATAGTGGCTCAGATCTCACTCAGCATCAAAGAATTCACACTGGTGAGAAACCCTATGAATGTAAGGAATGTGAAAAAGCCTTTAGAAGTGGTTCAAAACTTATACAGCATCAAAGAACGCATACTGGTGAGAAACCCTATGAGTGTAAGGAATGTGGGAAGGCCTTTAGTAGTGCTTCAGACCTTTCTCAACATCAAAGAATTCATACTGGTGAGAAACCCTATGAATGCAAGGAATGTGGAAAGGCATTTGGTAGTGGCTCAAAACTTATTCAACACCAGCTAATTCACACTGGTGAAAAGCCCTATGATTGTAAAGAATGTGGAAAGTCCTTTAATAGTGGCTCAGCTCTCAATCGACACCAGAGAATACATACACGTGAAAAAGGCTTTAATTATAAGGAATGTGGTAATATATTTGGGAAGGGATCAGAATTGCAACAATATAAGAAAAATCACATCAGAATCTCTGAATTGGAAACTCTAGATTGGGATGATGGAAATGAAGAACTTCAACATAGGAAAATTCATACTAGTTAGAGCCTACAAATGTAATTAAGGTATAAATAGTATACTTTGCCACCTCATTATTTACAGACTATATAAGGGAAAACTCTCAAAAAACTAAATATTTGTACATCTTTATCAACATTCCTTTGTTCTTTTGGAAAATTATTACTGTGAACATAAAAATTAAAAACCTTTGGGACTGGCGAGATAGTACAGTGGGTAAGATGCTTGCCTTGGGAGGTGGCATGTTGTACAGCGACAGCAAGCAGGAAGGTCCTTGTTTAGCCACAGGTGTCCAAACAGACGCCTAGGCGAAAGGGGACCCTGGTGGGTCTAGAAGATTGCCGGAAGTAGGATTCATAACTATGCCTCGGAATCTGTGCCAATGTAGGACCTCTCCCCTGACATGTACGCCATCAGTGTGGGGCATGTCTTCAGGGTGACAGCTGCTCAGTGGCTGCCAGTTAATTTCCCCTTTCATAGTGCATTGGGCCATATTTTAGTTTCCTGTACTGGTCTTAGAAGGGCAGCCTGGCTACCCCAACAACATTAGGTCAATAGTCTACTAGCCTACTCCAATCAAAATACCCCTAAAACTCAGCAAGATAACAGTGTGCACAAGAATTTCTGCAAACCCAATCTAAAAAAATATGTCACCCAAATCAGCACTAGAGGCCCTACATAAGCCACACAAAAGCACCAAAGAGTAAGGTAATATCCTTGAAAGGGAAAGAGGAGATCAGTATTGACTAAGATTGTCCAGAGCCCCCCCGCAGCAGTGAAAGGGGGGACACTGATAGTGAACTGGGGTAATCCACCTCCATACTACTGCAGCATCATGGGGAAACAGCACATTTTCCCACCATGAGGTATGGATGAAGAAAAGAGCCCTAAAACCCCAACAGGGAATACTGACATACATAATCTCTCTGATAAAGAATTTAGAGATGAAATGGTGAGGATGTTTAATGAGCTCAAAGAAAACAGTGGAATGGATAGCCAATACATTACAGTAGAATATAAAAGAAACAGTGGAGCGGTCTACAGGAATAAATAAGAGCAGAAATAAGAAAACTACAAACAAAAGTATCACTAATAAAAAATTCAGTAGATGAAATTAATAATTCAGTGGATGCCCTCAACAGTAGAATGACAATAGCTGAAGAAAGAATCAGTAAGTTTGAAGATGAGCTGCAGAAAGCACACAGGCAACAATGGAAGATGGAAAAAAGACAAAATAGTACAAGGGTGAGGAAGAAATGTATGTGATGAATTCAAAATGAACAACATAAGAATCATTGGGGTACCAGAAGAATAGGGAAGCAACCCCAATCAGGTAGTAATAGTTAAAGACATCATTGCTGAGAAGTTCCCTGAGCTGGAGAATGCAAGCATCCAGATTAAGAAGTCCAGTGAGTACCAGCTTCAAGACATATCCTAATCAGAATGATCAATACCATAGGTAGAGACACAGTACTGTGAGCAGCAAGGTCAAAGACAGAAATCATGCTAAGGAGGATCCCTTAGATTTACAGGAGACTTCTCAGATAAAACCATCTGGGCGTGAAGACAGTGGTGGGATATAGTGGGAAAAATGAATGCCTCACCAAGAATACTTTGTCCAGCAACACTCGCTCAGACTTGAGGGAATGATACAGTACTTTGCAGATAAACAACAGCTCAGGAATTTCATAGACTCAAAACCAACCTTAAAAAAAGGACTGAGGGGGCTACTCTAAGACAAGACAAACCACACAAAGCAAACTTTTAGAGAAAGATGGCACTAAATCCCATATGGACAATAATGTCTTTCAATGTTGATAATCTAAACATGCCAATAAAGAGGCACTGGCAAAATGGATTAAAAAACTGAATCAAACATTCTGATACCTATAAGAAAGAAACATATCTGAATAGTCAGAGCAAACACACTCAAAGTCAAAGGATGCAAACCAATGGGGTCAGCAGAATATTGAAAACAATTGCTAGTAAAACTTCAAGAAGGACATTGATAGCAACACAATAATAGTTGGAGATTTCAGCATCGCCTTATCACCTCTTGATAGATCAACAAGATTAAGACTCAGCAAGGAAGTTCTGGCCCTGAAGGAAGAAATGGGAGAGGGCTAGTAGATATAGGACTTTTCATCCCCCAAGTTCTGGATACACTTTATTCTCCAGTACACATGGAACATTTTCCAAGAGAGACCATATGCTGGGCCACAAAACATACCTCAATAAAATCAGGAAGATAAGCATTGTATCAGCTATATTTTCAGACCATGATGTGCTGAAAATATAAGTTAATTGCAGAAATAGAGAATCAAATCAAACATGTGGAAATTAAACAGATAATTGCTGAATAACCAGTGGGTTAGAAAGGAAATCAAAGAAAAAAAATCAAGATTCCTGGAAACAAATGAGAATGAATACACAAGCTACTAGAACTTGTGGGCCACAGGTAAAGCAGTATTAAAAGGAAAGTTCTGTAAGCATTTTATCAGGAAGGAAGAAAGGGTTTCACATAAATAGCTTGACTTCACAGCTTAAGATCGTAGAAAATGACTAACAAAAGGACCCAAACCAGGCAAGAGGAAATAAATAATAAAACTTAGAGGAGAAATCAACAAGCTAGAATTAAAAAAAAATCCCAAAGATCAATGAAACCAAGAGCTGTTTCTCTGAAAAAATAAACAAGATCAATAAACCACTAGCAAGACTCAGAGAAAAAAACCCTAATAAACCGAATCAGAAATGAAAAGTGGGACATCACAACAGAAAACACAGAAATTCAAAAGATCATCAGAGATTACTTTGAGAAGCTGTACACTATGAAACAAGACAACTTAGAAGAAATGAATAAATTTCTGTATTCCTATAACCTCCCAAGGCTGAGCCAAGAATATTTGGAATACTTCAATAGACCTATCACAAGAAAAGTGAAATGGTAATCAGAAGTCTTCCCAAAAGCAGAAGCCCAGATCCAGAAGGATTTACTAGTGAATTCTTCCAAACCTTTAAGAAGAACCTATTGCCAACCCTTTTCAAGCATTTCCAGGAAAATGAAGAAATAGAAACACCTCCAAACAGTTTCTATGACACGCACATCCCATATCAAAGTCAGACAGAGACACCATGAAAAAACAAAACTATAGGACAATATCCCCGATGAATACAGATACAAAGATTCTCAACAAAATACTAGCAAATAGAGTCCAGTGACAACTCATCAAAAAGATCACACACCATGATCAAGTAGGATTCATCATAGAAAAGGGAGCAGGATGACAATGATAGCTGGAAATGATCATGCTGGACAAGTACTGAGTGTTAAAAGTAGGTAAAGGGATATACCGGATAACCTTTCACTATCTGTACTGAAAACCACAATGCCCTGAAAGAAAGAGAAAATGAAGGAGAAGAAAAATGCCTGCCATAGAGAAGGGAGGTAATGGAAGGGAAACTGGGGACACTGGTACTGGGAAATATACACTGACTGGAGGGATGGGTGTTGGAACACTGTATGACCGAAACCAAATTATGAACAGCTTGGTAAAGATCTATCTCACAGTGACTCAATAGTTAAATCTTGAAAAGAAAAAGAGTTAGATGCTTTAAAAAAGATGTTTATTTTATGTGGCTTATTCAGGTTCAAACTAACTGTCCCTGAAGCACTACTAGAATGATTCCTGAGTGTAGAGCTAGGAGTAATCCCTGAGCATTGCCAGGTATGACGTCAAAAACAATTGAAAACCTTTTCATATAATTTTTGCCCTTGAGCATCAAAAATTCACTTGGGGTCCTAACCCTGTTAATTTTTTATGTTTTCAGTTTACCTGAATTATACAGAATAACTGATTTGTGTCAAAATTATTTAGACTAAATTTGCCCTTTCCCACTCTCCCATTCTCCTAACATTTATTGAATATTTTTTATATTTTTGCCTGTTTTGTGGTAAATTATATTTTTATACAATATAAAGCTTGGAATGTTTTTTTTAATTTGCTTATGTTAATTTCTCTGTCTTACTCTGTTGTTACTGTTAAGTAATGTTACTTTTAAATATGTAATGTCTTGTGAATCTGTACCTTTGTTCTGGTAGATTTTCTATTTTGTAATGTTTGTGTTTTTGGAAAATAACTGCCCTCTATAAAAATGTAGATATGGACCAAAAACAAGATAGTTATCTGAATTGTTAGCAATCACTGTCAAACTGTGAGAACAAGCCATTTAAGATCATATACATTAGTTGGAGTGAGATTATGCTACTCTATAGTCAGCTTTAATATTCTTTGTAAATACTTTGTTACTCTTTTATTAAACATAGAAAAATTTGATATTATAAGGAGTGACTTTGAAGGTTTCCTTTTTCCTGTGTGATTGATTTGTCATTCATTTCAGAGATAATATCTCAGGATTTCTTTTGCTTGCAAAAGACTTGTACACTATAGATAAAGCTGGGCTTGCCTTTGACCAGTATCCTTGATCTCAAACATTAAACAATGAGTCTCTCAGTTCCATTAATATACACATATAAAACATATATAGTAAAATAGGCATAGTTTGCCATGCCCCTGGCCTGACTCCACTGTCTGAGGATGGACCTGTGGTATGTGGTTTTGTGACTGAAATCTCCAGACTTTCTCGGGGTTGGGATGGGCTACCTGCTCCCACCTCCCTGTTCATCTGGAATCTTTGGCAGTCACATCCATACTCCAAAACTGCTTCTCAGTTAAAAAGCTACTCCAGTGCTTGCTTTGACAGCACATATACTAAAATTGGAACGATACAGAGAAGATTAGCATGTACCCTGCGCAAGGAAGACATGCAAGTTCGTGAAGCGTTCCATAATTTTAAGATGAAGTCATGAAATTTACATACAAGTGGTACTAAATGGAAAGTATCATGTTAAGTGAAATGAGTCAGAAAGAGAGAGATAGACATAGAAAGATTGCATTCATCTGGGGAACAAAGTAACAAAATAGGAGACTAACACCCAAGAGTGGCCGAGATTCATAACAGGAGATTTGCTCCATGGCTTGGAGGCCAGCCACACATGCTAGGAGAAAAGGAAGCTCAGATAAGAGAAGGGAGCACCAAAT